TCGTGGAGGTGCTCTTCGCCTCTCGAAACGGGCTCGTACTGATAGTACGTGCGGAGACTCCTAACTTAATACGTAGGGTGCGTACGCATCCTACGAGGCAGTTCAATTGTGTATTCGTTGCCCTTGCGGTGTAATACACGAAATAGATCGATGTACTTGGGCATTAGTTTACTGCTGCCCACGTTTTTCACTGGGTGTCTTGGTAGATTTACTGTTGACATTGAAACTAAGTCTCCGGCATTGAATGAAAGAGCGTTAGCTCTTTCATGTTTTTCTGCGTTTCTTTTCTGCTTACCTATTGCATCTGCAATAGAGTCTCAAACGAGGCGGACAACCGCTTCGTGAGTCAGTAGAAATCCCTCTGCTGACTCGTCCTTGTTAACAGCAGTGTTGCTTCGTGTACACTGCTTAAAGAAAGTTGTCTTCACCAGTGAGGGTGTCATCTTCCTCACTTTGGCAGTCATTGGCGATGCTGAATATACCAGCATCGTCGTCATCATCATCATCGATATCGATTGCATCGACATCGGCAACCATCACGTCGACACCATTGTCGACGGGTGATGAGCACGAACCAGATCGGTTTTTGTTCGAGAGCTCCCCCCCCTTAAACTAGAGTCACACTATAAGAAGACGGGTAAACATGAATGGCGTAGGCCATTCACGAAGAACGGTATATGCGTTGTCGACGCTTGCACGGAGTTGTTGATGGCGAATTCCGCCATCGACAAGAACTCACTCCAACTCGCAAACGAGTGGACGTACCCTCGAAGTGTCTCTTCGAGGACGCGGTTAACACGTTCCGTTTGCCCATTGTTTCAGGATGGTCAGAAGCCGACATTCATAATCGTGTTCCAAGTGAAAAGAACACGGATTGCCAGAACTCCGCTGTGAAGTGGGTGTCCCTGTAAGACACGAGTTCACGGGGTAGCTCGTGAAGTCGGAAGATAGTATCAATGAAGACACGAGCACATCCCTGGGCTGTGATTGACTCCGGTACAGCAACAAGATGTACCATCTTGCTGAACCGATCAACAAACACAAGAATACCAGTATTCTCGTGAACGTCTTTGGTAAACCCAAAGACGAAGTCCATCGATACGGACTGCCAACACTCTGCCGAAATCGATAGAGGCTGCAAGGGTGCGCGGGATGAAGGACTAGGCTTCACCTGTTGACAAAATTTTGCAAGCGCAAATGTATTTCCGCACAAACCCATACTAGGGAGGCCAGTAGAAGTCACGACTCACCATTAGGTAAGTCTTTTTTACTGCGATTCCCACTTGTCGGGGCATCGTGACACTCACACATGATGCGCAATCGCAAATCATTATGAGCCGGAACGACGACACGAGGTGTGTCGCCTTTGACTGCTTATAGTAAAGCAGTCCATCATGAATAAAATATCGTTCGGTTGAAAGAGGTATTAAGACGTCAAGATTTTCAAAGCTTGACTGCATGGATTGGATACATAATCCATCAACTGCAAAAGAGACTCATCTTCTGCGTATGCTTTTCGCACGTCGTTGAGCGTATTCGACGACGGAACACTCACTTTTAGTGTTGCAACAGCGGTATCACCCCTACCGCTGGCTTGAGCAGTCAGCTCGAAATCGGGCCGATGCGAAAGAGCGTCAGCGACGACATTAAGTCGTCCTGGTTTATACTATAAGGAGAAGTTGTACTCCACGAAGAAAGACAGCCACCTCGCCATTCGTTGCAAGAGATATGGACTGTTTAAGACTGTGCTCAATGACGCATGGTCGATATAAATGATGGAGGGCCTATCTCCTAAGAGATTTACCCGAAACTTAGCCAGTGCACATTTCATTGCAAGGAGTTCCTTATCATGCACTGCTTAGTTACGCTCAGCTGCTTGCAGCTGACGCGATTGATAACAGACGACGCGCTCAACGTCGTCTGATTCATACTGCATTAACGCGCAGCCGACCGCAAAATCGCTGGCGTCACAGACCACATGGAATGGCCTGTCCTGGTCTGCAATCGCCAACACAGGAATTGTATCAAGCTTTTCTTGATACCTTCGAAGGAGTGCTGACACTCATTACTCTATGACCACCTCTCGTTTTTCTTTAGCAGACAAGATAGGTGTACGGCCATCTCGACGTAGTTGCGCGAGTACTTGTGCAAGTACGCCGCTAAGCCAAGGAGCTTTTGAAGTACCTTGACGTCGACTGGCACAGCCCATTCGCTATTTGCCTTGATCTTTTGGATCAGGACGTACGCCGTTTTTACGTAAGATGCAGCCAAGAAGTGGCATTTCGCTCGCTGAGAATATGCACTTCTTGAGGTTGGCAAACAACTTATGCTCATGCATATTTGTAAGAACCTTCCGGACGTGGATCATATGAACATCCACGTATGCCCTTCCATGTATTGACCGGCTATGGGCGAAGGCATCGTCAAAGTAACTCGGTGCTAAGTCTCGCACCGATCGCAACAGATTCGCAATACTTGTGTTGAGCTTTGCAGGGGAGTTACTTAGCCCTTGTGGCATGACTAGCCACTCCCATAGCATATCACTTGATGCGGTCTCTACTGTGTACGGGGTGTCCTGTCCACTCATGAGGATATGATAAAACCCATCATCAGATCCATGAACGAAATGATGACATTTTCTGCCATGCCATCTATAATTTCGTCCTTCCTCGGTGTAGTCGTCTGAGCCTGTACCGTTGTAGCAATCAATTTGCTGAACGCATGTGCTCTACAATACCCTCCTATTGCTTCTTGCACACAAAAACCATGGATACGTGGAGGGATGCTGATTCCCTCACATGGCCCGCCGCCAAGCGATCGGTAAAGAATTTGTCGATTGTTTTGACCTGTTCACGAGTCAGTGGCCACTGATTTGTGATATAGTGCTTCGAACCGGGTTTCAGTTCGATCTCACATCGAGTGCCTTTGTCCTTCGGCAACTCTCATGGCACAGATTCAGGAAAACATCTCTGATTCGATCAAATCCTTATGCAAAGGATTTTCTTCAAAGACTCCCAATATTGAGACGTGTATCACTCAATCCAGATCTTCTCATAGAACATCGATGAGCTGCTGAGAACCCGTTCGTTCACAGCAAACACTTGTGCCGACCGAATATCGGCGACGTACTCTTCCTCTGTGACGAGTAAGCAGATGTGTTTGATCTTTTCACTACGCAGATCTCGCAAGAATTTTTTAAGTTTTAGCGTTGGCAACTTGATTACATCTGAAGATGACTTCGGAGATGTAACCAGACTTTTTTATAAATGACCACACGTGATCCGTCATTCACAAAGACATTCACTGTCTCGGTGTTTTTCTGGAAAACACATCCACAGGTGGTTGGGAAACACACCCTCAGCATAGCTCTCTCCGAAGTTATCACTCTCAGGAACTCTGGAACTTTCTTGCAATACGTGTTCTGACTGTGGGAGCACTACCACAGTCACGGCCTCTTCGATCGACTCTCTTTCAGTCGATCGTGTTTGCTTTACGATCGACTCTCTGTTAGTCGATCTCGTTTCAACATGGTGTTCATCCTGAATAAAAGTCATAGCTCTTCTTTGATGCACCCTGCTTGGTGTGCATCCGTGTTTCAGTCCACCCGATCTCTTCGAGTGGTGAACCTTCAGCACATCCTGTGTCTCTACACAGGTGCCGGAAGCTGGTTCCACAGTGTAGTGGCCTTCTACACTGTGATCTTTTGCAGTCGTGCTAACGACCGTGCCACAAGTACACAAGTAGGCCATCGCAACCGTTCGTAGTACATTTTCACGTTTGTGGACGCTCCAAGACGTTCATCAGATGGCCATGTGCTGAACAAACGGCAGGCATCTTCACGGATCGATGCTGCCAGCTGATCCATGGCTCGTATCTTCTGAGCCATAACAGGCTGAGTATGACATCAAATTTGTCATCCAAATCTTTTACGATGAAGTCATCATCGTACTGCTCTCCTTCTAGCGTGTAGTGGATTCCTACTACACGTTTGAGATACCGTTACGGATGAGTATGTTGCTAGGCACACCGTCAGCCTCGTTGGAGGGATATCTCGCTTGGCCTAGCTGAGCCAGCTATCCCCTAGCGACTGACGTCGAATAAAGCTGTTCGACGCCTCGCAGACAACTAGGGCGCGAAGTGACATTCCACTTGTCACTTCAATCTTCAAAGTGATAAGAGACTTCTGTCCACTAAGGGCAGTAACACACAGCGACTTTGTGTTGGGAGAAATCTTCGTCAACAGTCCTGCAAATTCTCTTGACGTTTCTGGATCAGCAGGGTGCTCCGTACCTACCGACCCTGACCAATTTTGGCGGTCCGACTTGCGGTCGCAATTTGGCTACATGGTCGGACCCACGCCTTGGACCTTTCCTTGACCAACGGTGCTCATCACGTCCTGTCTTTGGACGAGATGCGGTGCTCAGGACACTACACTCTTGAGCGTAGTCTCCAATCTTCTGACAGCAATGGCATCTTGCCGTTCGCTTGTGACTCAGAGAACGAGCGTTCTCGCTCTCGATGTGACTCAGAGAACGAGCGTTCTCGCTCTCGATAGAACAGAGTTCCATTGGTTCGGGACATCCCGTTTCCTGTCATCTCATTGGACGATAGTTCAACAAGTTAGCCTGATACCGTATCAGGCTGAAGTCTTCTTGTTTCGCATACGCTATTGCCTTTTCCAGCGTATGGAAGTCCTCTTGAAACATGTAGGTCTTCACCGGCCCATAAACTAGGCCGTAGATTAACACGTTGATGAGCGTGTGCTCATCAACAGGGTTTTCCGTAACGCTACTCGCAAGGTAGCGCAGGTGCTGTGCGTAAGCGTGCACGTCACGATTACCTTGCTTTAGCCTCAAGAGTGCAGAGCGTGATCTGAACTCGGCTCTCGCCGGCTCGAACGTCTCTTTGAGACGAGACTTCAAGATCTCCAACGATTCAAACACGTTTGGGTCGTGAAGCTTGAGCCCTAAGGCGCAAGTCTTTGCTCGTCATGTCAAATTTTACAGGGCGAAGGTGGCTTGCATCTCGTCACCCTCGATGTGACGGGCCCTGATGGCATCGTCTAACTGGACGAACCATCTCAAAAGGGAATCTTCATCGATTCCCTTATATCTTAAGATATCAATCTTCAAGGTCTCGGGTCGACGCATGTGCGTCGGACCACCCGTCGATTGATGAGAGCCTTGCTGGTGAAGCAAGGCTATCTTTTGTCCTTCGATAGCAAGTTCCCCTTGCAGGAACTTGTTGATAGCAGCGTGTTGCTGGTCTCTGCTTCGAGACTCCAACATACCACTGATCGCGGGTTCGCCCAAGAGCACACTCATGCGGCCGACTACCCCCCACTCTGAGTCACTCAGATGGTAGTAGCCTTCACGTATGACGTGAAAGCTGTCGTCTTCTACGTCCAACATGTTCATGTTGGATGGACACTAAGCAGTCGTTGGACGGACTACAAAGTGCTACCAGGTGTAACGGGTCACCCTTTGCTCGAAGTGCCGCGAAACTTTACGTACACTCGTACGTGCAGAGGAAGCTAATCTACTTGAACGACTCGTTCAAGTAAATGTAAAAAGAGAACTGTATTATAAATAGTTAAGCTATCAACATAACTTTAATCTTTATCCAAAAAAAATTAAACTACGCCGTCGTGTGACGACAACCTGCTCACCACTCATCGCGCGCGTCTAGCAGCGACTGGTGGCAATCTATGGTTGATATGTCTTGTATCAACCAATCTTGGAGCATCGCGTGATAATTATCAAAAGGGGATAACATTACTTCAATTTAATCTATCGTGGATAATTTTGGAAGGAAATTGTCATGCTAGACAATCTCCCTATTGACACCGTTTGGTGTCAATTTCAAGCAACGGGCTGCCCCGTTACACTAAAGGTCGAATTTTTAACACAATCAACATCTATACATGTGCCCTTCACCACCGATCACGTGTTAATATGCTTTGGAACGGCTGCTCCAAGCCAATGTATTTAAAGAATGACGCGTTTTAGGCAGGTACCGACTCAAGAGTCATGAGCGGCCCAAAGTCGATAAGCTTATCCGGAGAATTAACAACGGGAAGCTATTGCAGCAACAGCGACAGTGACAGCAGTCATCAGTCGAGTGGAGGTGGTGGTACGCGATGTGTGCAAGGCAATCAAACTGGTATGGATGAAAAGCTAAGCGTGGACCTGTCCAGTGTTCGAGGATCATTGCAATCATCCTCGTGTGAATCCAAGGCTTCCTCGAATGAGGCAGAAGTTCTTTCCCGTTTGTCTGCCAAAGTCGTTTCGTGAACGAGTTTGAAGAGCTGTCAGCAATTGGCAAAGGTGGCTTCGGTCAAGTTACACTCGCCGAGAAACGCTTGGATGAACGAAGGTATGCGATCAAACGGGTTGGTCTTAACTTGAAGAACCAGACGTCGAAGACTTTGCAGAAGTTTTTGTGTGAGGTGAAAATTCTGGCGCTGCTGGACCACGCTAACATCGTTCGGTACTATCAGGCATGGATGGAAAAGGTTGGGGAGAGCACAAATGAAACGTCGGTTGCATCGTCGGTTGCCTCCGACACGAGCTCAGTCGATGGACTCGCTGCTGGGGCAAATTACTCAACAAATAATCTTCTCGCACCGATCTCAGAGCTTGAGTTTCCAGGAGACCAACGCGACCTCGAGAGCTTCTACAGCGACGGAAGCGTGATCAGTGACAATGCCGATGATGGTGGGTTTGTCTGGGAACGTGAGACGTCTAGTATGGAAGGTGAGGATGGCTGGAAAGAAGAAGATCTGGTCGTGCAAAACAAGCCACGCATAAGCCACCTGCCTCCCCGTGTGTCTTCGTCTTGCGCACCGGCTGCTCATGGTAGCGAAGACGACTCTTCGTGCAACGCGGTAGAAAAATGTGATCACTGGCTGTACATTCAGATGCAGTACTGTGCTGGCCGCAACTTGGCGGACTATCTGGCTGTTTCAAGCCGCCCGATGGAGTTGTCGAGAATGTTGAAGATCTTTGTGCAGATAGCAAGTGCACTTGCGCACGTACATTCGTGTGGACTGATTCATCGCGATCTGAAGCCAGCGAATATCTTTGTTGCCGACGTGGAGAGAGACGAGATTAAGTTGGGGGATTTTGGCTTATCGCGCTACGCTGCGAATGCAAGCAGCCTGAATGCCTCGACAAGTCTTGATGATCCCCAACAAGGATGTCTTTCCAATGGTGTGGGGGACACTCCTCTATCTATGTCGGTGCGGTCGAACATGTCGGAGAGTACTGAGGTGACTGCGGCTGTTGGCACGTATCTTTATGCAAGCCCGGAACAAGTCGCAGGGAAGAAGTACAACGCCAAGACGGACATGTACTCGTTGGGAATGATCCTTTTTGAGCTGTATCACGACCGCTTTGGCACGACAATGGAGCGATACATTACTCTCCGTGATGCCCGAGACAGTAAGTTCCCTGCTGATCTCCGCGCGACAAAGAGATGTCCTGAAATCCTAGACATGCTCAGCAAGTTGTTAAGTCACGACCCGAGTGCGCGACCTACAGCCGATGCAGTCGTTCAGTGGGGGCAAATGATGTACGAAACGAGCCTTGCTCAGAAAGCTATGGATGTTGTGCGGTCGCCGCGCAACCTAGGCATGATTTGAGCTGCAGCTGGTGCAAGCTTTTTTGTGCCGGGTATTGATCACTTCATGGTTGGCATCGGCGAAACAGTGGTTACGACCACGTTTTGTCTGAAGGTGGAGGCTGCAATAGAGCATTGCAATGGTGAGACTGGCGGCGAGCGACGTTTGCCGAACCATAATTTATTCCAGCAAATGTGCGATGTGATTGCCGGAGTTCACGATGGGAAGGTTGGGATCAAGAAGTGTGGATTGCACATGGAGAATGAGGGCGTGACGATTCTCGCGTTTGAGTTGGACCCACAGAGTGCTCTTGCCGTTGCGCCTGGCAGTGACGTGGAAGGCTCCGTGGTTTTGGCGATCGAAGCCCTCGCTGGAGTGCAAACGGTGCATCGTGTGAGCAAGATTGATTGAAACTTGGTGCCAGTGTCAAGAAAGAATACAAACCAAGAGGTTCGGTTTCAATTCGAGTACAATGAAGACCCGTCGTGCTTGAAGCGGGCATGAACCACGTTCGCCTTGTCGATCAAGTAAAGCAACGAGGACATGGGTACCAGCTGGTCAAGTAATGGTATGTCTTGCAGGGTTGTTGGGTTATACTTGTCGCAGGAAGATGAACAAGCACGACACGAACATAGCTCTGTATGTGTTCAGAGCATCAAATCAAGTGCCAATCTAGCTTGCCTGCTGTCAGGTCTCCATGCCATGACAAATGCACTCCATCGCACAACGTCGTGCACTGGAAAACAGTGCCATCAGTTGTCGAGTATCGAAGAGCAGTACGTTCAACGTTGGTGCTGATTCGACCAGTACTCTAAATCCGCCCGTTGGTGGAGGAAGACACGCCTGCATCCGAGTGTAGCAGTAACGAATCCAAACGAGAAGCGGTGTCGGAATTCATCCACTCCTGAAGAAAAGCACAGGTCACGTTCTGGTTCGACCTTGTTCTTTACCCAACGCGTCGTTGACAAGTGTGAGCATCATGGCTTCGAGCCCGAATCAAAGGGTTAATGTGGTTGTATTTCACCTTATCTGACTTGTCTTGGTAGATCAAGGCCAGCAAAGTGATTCTAGGCTTGTCGCAAGCTTACCAACACCTCTACCACCTTGCTCCATCCAGTACCCGATTGCTGTCGCTAACCCTTCCTTCATCAAAGCCGATCCGAAAGCGCACTGTCTTGCTCCACCTAACGTCGAATGGAAGGTCCCGCGGTCTTTTGGCGTTTCGGGTCCTCCTTTGGTAACGCTAGTGCAGCCTCGTAAGTCGAAAAAGTGCCTTCCTTCCTCTTTGAATTGTTCGCGCTCGGGTTGCTGGACGCTATGCCCAGAGCCTTCTTAAAGTAGTTTTTCCACTTGTTATCTGACCCGGTCTGCAACGCTTTCGCAATATTAGTCCATCGAAACGTGCCCTCGTAATGTTCTTGTGCTTGTGCAAACTTGAGTGCTTTACTTGGCAGACGCTGAATCCTGAATTCACTTATTTGCGCAGCGCGCATGCGTTTAATCATTGTAGTGGGGGACATGTGACTAACAGCATAGTTTACGTAAAACATCAGCATCCCGTCCGCAATGGTAGACTCCTCCCCCGCTTGCGCTATCGTCCGTAGATATTTAAAGTTACCTTTGCTCTTGAGCTTTTCGAATAAGTATCGATATACATCATATCTGCCGCCATGATGACCATCGGGGGACACAAATAGGTATCGATGAAGCAGTCGCAACTCGTTATCCATCATGTCTCTTTCTCCCGTCAGGTCGGAGAGCTCCAGAAGGCCGGGAGATCGGTCGAACGCGATGCCGCGGTTCTTCCAGGACTCTAACATCGCCGCCTCCAAAGCAGTAAATATCATCTCGTCATTACGATCAGCCACCTTAGCTTTTCGCAAAGCAGACGCGAGTTTGGTGAAGCCATCAGTATTGGCACCATACATACCTACCAGATCCTGCATCAGCTGTTCTGCTGTCCAATTCTGTGTTCTCTTCCCCTTCTTCAGGGATTTCCACTGGTCTGGGCTCAAAAGCTTCTCATCCGTTTGCTGTTGTAGTTGCTCGATGATACTCGTACGTTTGTCGTTAGGTTGAGCAGCCACAGCAAGCGCACGCTCGATGGCCCTCTTCCTGTATGCGTCCACTTGATTTCCGTCAGCAATCAGTAGCTCATTGATCCTCGTACTGTCTGCTTCCAATCGAGAAGCCACACCAGGCGAATGCTCGTTGACCCTCGTACTGTCTGCTTCCGATTGAGAAGCCACGACAGGTGCCTGCTCTTTTTCCGCGAGCGAAGGCAGACCAAGCACCGGTGTCGCCACTGTTCCGCTCGACTCAAGACGCTCTGGTGCATCGTGTGCGTGTCTGAGTCGATCCCAACCTTGAGTACTACTGTAGGGGATATCATGGACGTGCATCTGATCTCCCGCTCGTCCAAGTGCGACGTGATTCCGATCTTGAGCAGCAAGCATGGGGACAATTTGGTCGTGTATCACTTCTTGCGCCCGTTCAACCACCGCAGAGAGTTCGGACGATTCCCAAGCAAATGTCCTGTCTTCGCCATTTGCTCCGTCGTTGCTTGGCAACATGCGGTTGTCGCTGGCAGTCTTCACAGGGTCCTTGGGATGATCACTGGAACGAAGATCCGGCCGCAGCGTCTTCGAACCTGAGGCAGAGTATCTTGAGAGACTTTTGATGAACGCGACCGCGGCAAGGAGCTCCGCGGTGTAGATGCGCATGTTGAAACGGGGTCGGGTGGTTGCTTGTGAGGCTGGCGGGCGAGTTTCGTAGTGACCGGTCGTGCCAGTAGTAGAGACTTTGGTCAGAAGCTGATCCCTTTTCTGAGCCACGATCATCCCACTCTTTGATCTGCGTCTCTTTTACCTGCGGCTTCCTCTTTACTTTACTTCAGTAGTGACTCAAGCCGGTTTGTTTCATAGTGGCGGTGACCAGCATGGGCGACTTGCAGCTGAGCCTAATCACGCGTGACAAGGGCCGGCAGAAAGTGCATTGTTGTGGGCTTTTGATCGAGCAAGTCTCGCTTTCTTTATAAAACGCATCTTCTCCCTTGGCGTTGGAACCGCTGGAGTGGACAAAGCTGTTGTCAAAGCATCAGCGATAGCACTGTTCGTCTCAGAGCTGGCCCCGTAAGTGCGCATGAAGTCAGTGACGACACTAATTACTACTTCATAGCGTAACACTTCCCAACTTGCGCCTTCGGGCAACAATGCCAAGCGACAAATACCTCTAAAGAGCCGGGCGATCAGGTCCCTAACTCTGGGTGGGAACTTCCGAATCGTGAGGAATCGCATGAAAACATGGACGTTCGTCCAAGAAACTGACAGTTAGACTATCCATTAGCCTTAGTTAATATATGCCAACAAGGGTAAGAAAAAAACCACTTTAGAAGAGACGTTACTCGAAACGTTTCTTAGATTAGTAGGACCCATCGCTTTTCAAACGGGCTGCGGTCTTCAGTTGCGAGACGACGGCTCCTGCCCAGCGGCGCGGGTGGGAGCCACCCGCGACGGCGAAATCTGTAGCGGTGGCAGCTGAAGCGGTGGAAGTTGCAGTGGAGATAATGAATGCTTAAATGTAGTCAGATGAGCCGCTGTAATCCATTTCTCTTACCCATTGACGACCGATGGTGGACGTTTCTACGGCACAAAAGAAGATCGAGTTTGGACCGGATGCTCGGTGATGCCGGTCAGCGTGCAGCATTATGCGAGTTTTTGCATGTCACGAAAGTCCCCGCCGTTACATCCGATCATTTCTCGGCGGCTGCCGAGCGCGTTTGGACATTCGATGGAGGCATATGTATGTCAATGGAAGCGGATGTGGTGGGTATTCTGTTCTATATGTATCACGACATTATGGGTGCAACGCAATCGGGTCGTTCACGAAGGGCATTCCGTCACTTTGGCGGGATGTATCCACGAATGCACAGTTTTAAGTTTTCGGCAATTACACGCGCTAGCGCTGCGAGAGCGTAGACAGCTACACACCCAGGTGGCCGGGACTCGTCTGATGCAATGCATTGGACTGCTCACCATGGCCCTATCTAGAGCACCGCACACAGCGGTGAGTCACGTACAACCACCGGATCATCCGACACCGGCGTTGCTATCCTGGCTTAGGTCTTTCCAGACGTCTTGTACACCATAATATCGTATAATAGACGGTCTGTTCCTCTCTCTCTCTCTCTCTCTCTCTCTCTCTCTCTCAAAAGAAGATCGAGTCATTCATGTCCGTCTACTGATCAATGATTTACTGAATGATACGACGCGATACTGTGTCGATTGAATGACGTGCCGTAATAAATCACCGGATGAGCCGCAAACTCAGTGAGTCAGTTACATGCTTGGTCGCCAAATTAGTCCTTCATCCATGTCAAAAGCGCAAATCAGGTTCTTCATCCACATAACCGCCCGCGCGATCCTTGTCTAGTCTGAAGCATCATCCATATCATAAAGTGCAAATCAGGTTCTTCATCCACATAACCGCCCGATCCTTGTCCAGTGTTAAGCAAATGTCGACGAGAGGATGCAGGAAACAAGGACAGACACCTTTGGAACTCGAACACCTAGACCTTGTTTACCTTCTACACAAAAGGAGAGCGCACAAGACGCGTTCACATACGCTTGAACTGCCGCAATCAAGAGATCGTATCACGGGGGTTGCCTGCGAGGACGGGGAGGTAAGGACATAGAGTGGCCTGAGCAAGCTACCCAAAAATTAGGGACGCAGTCCATTTGAAAGCAGAGGGTCCTGCCTATCTTAGAATCGTTTCTATTGAAGTTCATTCTAAAGTGGCCTTATTCTTACCCTTGTTGGCAAGTATTAAATAAGGCTAATGGATAGTCTAACCGTACCACAGATTGTTCAGGCGACCACCATGTTGTATGCGATTTCCCCTATCTGGAGCCCCGATAAAAGGGGGAAGGCCGTCTTGCCGCTGCGTGCGCTATAGAAGGCACCACAGCGAGTAAACCCAAAGGGGACGAGGTGAAGGGTGCGGCAACAGCAATTGTCAATCCCTTCACCTACACCTACTATTTTGCTTCAGCCTTCGAGTTGTTGGCCCGGACGCCGAGCTTGACTCTTGAGTTTAACGAAGCGAACTTGCCGAGAACGTGATCAAGATCGGTCTAGTCCAGGTACGTCCGCGGCCCATCGGGGGTGAAAAATCGGGCTGGTCCCCGGCGTTTCCTGCGACTTCAGCGCCCTGTCTGCACCCCGGACTGGATATCCGATTCCACGTGCCCTCTGCGAAGTGTCCCCCGTGATGACCGAAGGCCAAGCCAAGCAGACTAAGCCAGCAAGGAGAAGATGATGTAGTTTAGGCAGCAGCACACCGATATCGTATAGGCCATGAGCACTTAATCGACATTCAGGATTTACCAAGTAGCGTCATGGATAGATAGGTGGCCATCCGATGCAGAGTGATGCTGCTTCCGATTACATGGTGATAGCAAGATTTGGCTGCGTCGGTTGTCCCCATTCGTACGAGTACATACTTTCTGTGAGCATAAAGTTTCTTAGGTCGCACGCAAAAAGGTGCAATTGCAAAGCACGAGCTACACGTCGCACGCAAAACGATGCAATTGCAAAGCACGAGCTGCACATTCAGCATTCGTGCATGTAGGGACAAATGTCCATGACGGGAAACGTTGACTCGTGTTATTGAGTGTGCGCAAGTTCATGACAATGGCAGCATTATGCTCGGTGGGGTGTCATGTTGCAGCAGCTATAGCAGGCGACGTCCTAGATAGAGTGACATTCAATGCAACCGAAAGGTGGATCGTGTGCATCGTCCTGCCTGCTCCAGTACTGTGTCAAGAAGCTACCAAGCACATGGCGTAGCACATCAAGATTTGCGTGTGTGACCTCTCCGCTGCTTCTTTCTTCCGGCACAAACAGATGTACCACACATTCCGCCATGAATCACTACAGTAGCTATGGCTCGTCCACCGATGACGATGTGCTGAAGTGAACCAACATGCGATTTGCATGACAGACCAAGGGTTGGTGACGGCTGATGAGCACGAGCAGTTTCCAGGGATTCCCAAAGCTGTAGAAATGAGAGTCATTTCACTCGCATTTTTCACTCGCAAATCATCCTTCGTCTTCGCTCGATCGATGTGCCTGCGTTGTGCAAGAACAGCACGTAGTAGTGCATTAGCAGTAGTCTGTCTTTTCAGCAAATCCGTCGTTGCAACTACATGATCACGCACCCATTTACACTCTATTCTGATCAAGCAAGCTTGAATGGACTGTTTAGCACTCTTGTGTTGGCCTTGACCGACACACACGTGACCATGATCTCCCTCGAAAGGAGCAAATTTCATGGATGAAAACGTGCTTGTACCTTCTTCGGCGCCTCGCTGACGATATGTGTACACCATAGTACACCATCGTCCGCACGTGGCGGCACACGAAGATAGAGGCACGGGCTTCGTAATGAGACCTTTGACCGATTGGCGATTGAAGCTCTGTCGAAAAGCTGGATGCATTTACAAAGCTGTTCAACAACCGACGTACTCGGTAACGATTCGATCGGTACCGATACAACCGCACGCATCTTTTGCGGACCACGATCAGTCAGTGATGATGCGAAGACCTTTGAGAGCTCTTGACACGGTTCTAGTGACTGGTATCGTGACCATCGCGATTGATCCTGTGAATTTCGTTTCGCCTCATCTCAACAAAACAAATGCATGTGCAACCATGAGAGTATTGTCAGTAAAGCGACTGTCAAAGTGACATGACTGTCACGTCTGTATCACGATCTTCGGATTTACACATGTTTGTTGTGCAAACTCCAGGTGACAGTGCGGCATTCTACAAGTCCCCCAGTATTGGGGCGCGGAGGGAAGCTGTAACGGGGTAGCCTGTTACATGAAATTGACACTAAACGGTGTCAATTTGAATATTGTCTAGCATGATAATTCCCTACATTATCCGAGATGGATAGTATTGTAGGAATATTATCCCCTTTTGATAATTTTCATGCGCTGCTCCAAGATTGGTTGATATAAGACATATTAAACAAGATTACCACCAATCGCTGCTAGACACGCGTAGTGGGTAGTGAGCAGGTTGTCATCATACGACAATGTAAATTAACATGGTTGAATAAATTTGAAGGCACATTGATAGCTTAACTACATTAAATACGGTTCTATTTTTGCCTTTACTTGAACGAGTCGTTCAGGTAGATTCGCTTCCTCTGCACGTACTGGTGTACGTAAAGTTTCGTGGCACCCAGACAAAGGGTGACCCGTTACACCTGGTAGCACTTTGTAGTCCGTCCAACGACTGCTTAGTGTCAGTCCAACATGAACATGTTGGACGTAGAAGACGACAGCTTTCACGTCATACGTGAAGGCCACTACCATCTGAGTGACTCAGAGTGGGGGGTAGTCGGCCGCATGAGTGTGCTCATGGGCGAACCCGCGATCAGTGGTATGTTGGAGTCTCGAAGCAGAGACCAGCAACATGCTGCTATCAACAAGGTCCTACAAGGGGAACTTGCTATCGAAGGACAAAAGATAGCCTTGCTTCACCAGCAAGGCTCACATCAGTCGATGGGTGGGCCGACGCACATGCGTCAACCCGAGACCTTGAAGATTGATATCTTAAGATATAAGGGAACCGATGAAGATTCCCTTTTGAGATGGTTCGTCCAGTTATACGATGCCATCAGGGCCCGTCACATCGAGGGTGACGAGATGCAAGC